AAATTGGGGTTCCCTACACATACAGGTAGAACCTAAGTAGGCAAGGAATCGGAATCGTCTTGGTATCGGAATCGTAAATCAACATTTTCCTGGAATCGGTATTGGAAACGGAAAAAAATTAGGAATCGTCGCAACACTAAAGTTTTTTTCTTATTTAAGCCAATATGCACAGATCACCTGCTGCACAGCCTCTATAGATGGCATTTAACTGTAAAAATTGGGAAAGGGGGCCTATTGCATTTTCGGTCCTGCTTTACTTTATCCATGATCCATTGTTAAAGATGTTGGAAAAGCGGTTGACTCCTTGTATCTGGCTCCACCTACCATTATCTTTATACTGAACCAAAAATGAATCATTGTTGCCATGGAGCATTACTGCTATATATGGTCTGGAGCCCCTTCTCTTTGTCTCAAGGTCCTTGATAAAATCCAAAGACGGATCTGCAATGTAATTGGCCCTGATCTGGCATTTTGTCAGCAGCCGCTCTCTCACAGATGTGCCATGCCTTCCTCTGTCTTTTTTACAAATATTTTCACGGTAACTGCTCTGATGAGCTGCTTTCGCTGCTTCCCAGACTTCATGAATTTAAGCGTTCAACTAGGCTGGCATCTCGCTCTCACCCTACTCTTTTACTCCAATAGCTTCATGTCTTGCACTTCTCACCTGTGGAACTCCCTCCCCAGTTTTTGTTTTCCTGATAGCTATAATCTCCAACTATTCAAATGTAACGTCAATCGACATCTCCAGATAACCTGATCTAACCTTCTTTTCATCCTTTCCTCTATCACACTTCTTTGCTCTCGCTCCAACTCTCTGTAACCCCTTGCGTGCTAGTGGCTTCCCACCTTGCTTGGGGTTGAATGCTTAAAAAAAAATATCTGGGCAGTTGCTACTCAATCCTCTCTTTCAAGTTTTGACAGAATTCAAAAGTATTTACCTGTATTTGTAGGTGATGAATTATTTTTCAGTTCATAATCAGGTTCACACAAACACAAAATTGCAAGCCACCTGTTTCTCAATCATTATTTCTATGGAAATTTTGTTCCACCAGTTCAGACCTTCACAGCTAAGACCTCCCCTGCTTCCATATACACAAGGATGAATAATCCTTAATCCCTTCATATTTTATTGGTAATAATTTCCATTTGAATAGCTTCAACAGAAAAGGATGAAATAGGTAAATTTATGTGATTTCACAGAGACAAAAATAAATTTGACCAAATTTCTGCTTATGTACAGAAATTCTGCCAGAAGAACTTTCAACAATTCATATTGAGATTGATATGTGTGAGATTTTGGTCACCGAGGAAAGTGCTGCCAACAAAGTTATTCTAGTTTATTACAAAGAAAATTTTCACAAATAAAACTATTAATAATAAATTCAATAAAAATAGATATATAATGTTACCTACTAACTTCATGACATCTACTATTCAAAATAATATATCCAATCTCATTATTAAGTTAATTAAAATATGCTTTCCAAACTATTATGGATATGATCAGAACCAAAAAATGCCATATGTATAATAAACCATAACAGCTGTTCCTAACAATATATTTGTGAAACTTCCTTAAAAAAAAAAAAAATTATAAACATAAAAAAGATCTCCTACATAATAATTTGTAGAATGCATTATGAATTAGTTATACACAGAGATAATTTCAACTACAACTATGATCTAAAATATTCTGTTATTATTGAAAGAAAAAATAACTTAAGATGAAAAGTTCTCAAAACTGTATTAACAGATTCTAGCCCAAACATAAACTTACACACTGGATTTTATAAAATATCTTCTTTCTTAAAAGAAATACTTCAGTCTCAAGTTAACATATTTATGTAAGTCCATGAAGATATTTTTTAAATTAAAGGAAAACTTAACTCTCAGTTTTAAAACATCAATGATAACAACATTAACTTTCATTTAATATGAAACAAATTTACATCACTTAGCAGCCTCCATAATTTTCCCTTCACTTTCCTTAATGCCAAGAGATTTTCAAATAAATTAGTGTATTGTCTACTTGAAATTTGAATGCATAACATTATTTCTTTCAAAGTCACTGTGTATCAATAGATTTCACTTCTGTCATTTCCTTTTATTAATATATATCAATTAATACAAACATAATGATCATATATATATATATATATATATATATATATATATATATATATATATATATATATATATTTATATATATGTTTGGTTTGGTGGTGGGAGGGAATCTATTTCTGTGTTTGTTTGGAGTGATACTGTCATATGCATAGATACACATACATACAGGTGTACACATTTTGCTTCACACAAATACATCCATGTAAACAGATAAACAATTCAAGTCTAGGCACAGATACATATCTATATCAGAAGTAGATTCCCCCTCTCATCACCAAATATAGCCAAACAAGCATAAATAGATACAATTTTAAAAAATAAACCTATTTGTCTGATGATCGCAAAAGCATGAAACCCAGGGACACAAACTCATATTCATACAACTGAATACATTAGCTATATCACTGATATTGAATATTTTACAATAAGTACTGTGTATATAAAATAAAATATATATAATATATATATATACACACACACACACACACACACACACACACACAAAGGGTATGATGGTAAATTGTCGTTATTTTATGCTTTTAATTTTGCAGATACATTTTCTTTGTTTTTTGCTTTTGTTGATGGCAAAATATAATAGGGTCAATTGGGTACTGTCTATGAGAAAAAAAAGCACTATGATGCAATTCATTCTGCCAGAAATTTGGAAATTTGCATTCATGCCGGAAGCTCCAATACAAACATTTCAGATTGTTTGGGTGTCAATCTGAGGACAGTACAGAGGATTTGGAAAGAGTTGGATGAGTATAATGGTGATTATGAAGGTACCACAGCTCAGAAAACTTGCTCTGATCATTTTGATAAGAAAAGATCTCCTGAATTTGTTGGTGAGAGCTTCAGACTCAACATAGAGGCCTACATCAAGTGCATTGAGGAGGAAGTGCTACAATGTGTTAAGAGGGTGGCTGCTGGCAACAGGACTGCACCATGCCACACAAGCAGGAGAACCCACACATCGCTGTCAGACAATTTTTGTGACCACATCACCCCTTACATCTGGCCAAACAAGGAGACCATCCAAAAGAGTTGCAGGAGATTCCGAAGTCCTCTGGAGGCTGTGGTTAAAGCCAATGGTGATTTTATTGAATAAATTTACTCTAATATTTCAAGATATTTTTGTGCAATTTTGGTAAATATATCTGTTAAAATGAGATGTCAGTGTTGTGTTATTTTCATTTTTGTGTAATTTAGATGATAATTTATCCATCTTGTATTTGTTTCCATGGACATAAACAGGAGGCATTACTTTGGGAGTATCCCTCATGTATAATAATTATGATTTTTCTATATTTATTGTTGTCAAATAGCAAAAACAACACATCTGATCACAATTTTTGTAAGCATGATACTGTGAAAATGTTTTAATTTTTTAATTACGTGCATATGTGTTGTTCATTTTTGATTTTGTCCACTGCACACTATAATAGTCAGTTTGGTACAGTCTGTGAGAAAAAGAGCACCATGACGCAATTCACTCCACCAGAAATTTGGAAACGGCATGCTATACAGCTTGTCAGAAGCTCTAATACAAACATTTCAGAGTGTTTGGGTATCAATTTGAGGACAGTACAGAGGATTTGGAAAGAGTTGGATGAGTCTAATGGTGATTATGAAGGTATGGCAGCTCAGAAAACTCACTCTGATCATTTTGATAAGAAAAGGACTCCTGAATTTGTGGTGAGGGCTTCAGACTCAACATAGAGGCCTACATAAAGTGCCTTGAGGAGGAAGTGCTGCCCTGGGTCAAGAGAGTTGCTAAAGAAAAACCCTATGCCTGGCAACAGGACTCTGCACCATTCCACACAAGCAGAAGAATGCAGTCATGGTTGTCCGACAATTTCTGTGACTATATCACTCCTTACGTCTGGCCACTTAACTCCACAGACTGCAACCCTTTGATTATTATGTGTTGGGTTCAGTTGAGCAGGAGAGTAAGAAAATTCCTTATAACACCGAAGATGAACTGAAGGCAAGGATTATGGCAGCATTCATCAACTTAAAGAAGGAGGCCTTCCAGAAAAATTGCAGGAGATTCTGAAGTTGTCTGGAGGCTGTGGTTGAAGCCAATGGCAATTTTATTGAATAAATTTACTCTTTAGTATTTTATGATGTTTTTGTGCAATTTTGGTAAATATTTCTGTAAGAATAAGATGTCAGTATTATTTTCATTTTTGTCTAATTTAGATGACAATTTATCCATGACACTCTATACACACACACACACACACACACATATATATATATTATATATGAAGAAATATAGTCTTAAGATGTGCTATATTTATAGGATATATCAGAGATAGAGCATGTGTAAATATAAAAGTGAACATAGAGGTATTTTTATGTATATTATTTATATATAATATCAGTGATAAAGCTAACATATTTAGTTGTGTTGATGTGAGTTTGTGACCTTGGATTTCTGACGATCACAAAGGACTTGAAACCCAGGGTCACAAACTCACATCAATGCAACTAAATATATATATATATGTGTGTGTGTGTGTGTGTGATAATTATTATGCATGTTTTTAATAATTGCTCATTCCTCTTCACTGATAAATAAAAATATTTAGGTAATATTTGAAAATTTATCTATTTTAAAAATTCTGGTTTTGTAGCATTTAAAAATAAACTCAGTTTTGAGTTATTTCTGGTTTCCCTCTCAAAAGCACAAAAAACCCCAAAAAACAAATGTGTGTTATAATCTAAATAGTTAATCTTGTAAACTGAAAATGTCAGTTTTACCAAAAGTTGACATTTTGACAAATGACTGCAAACAATTGCTGCCTTTATAGAATAATGTTCCTGTTTTGTGGCTTAAGTGAATTCTGACCTCTAATCTCTTTTTCTTTCAGGCACAGATATCGAGCTTCATGTTACTGAGTCTGTTGTGTCTGGGAACAATCACCATGGAATTTCTGTACAAGACATGCGAAGTAAAATTGTTGTCAACTCTTTTTATGTTTGTGATAATGAATACGAAGCTGGTTTACGTGTTTTTCAAGGTGCTGGCCATGTTGTGGTGAATGACACAGTTTTTAAGAATAATACACTTGCTGGTGTGAATGTAACTTACTCTGGTGGATTGCTTCTATTCAATCGAAGCATATTTCTTCAGAATAAAGGTTACGGTCTTTTCACTGAATTCTTACAGCTGAATCGATCTCGAATTGAAGACGGGTTACAATTTGAGGTTGTCGGCGTAAAATTTTTGGAGAATTCTTGGACAGCCCTTCGGGTTGGTAATTACTGCAAAGGAGGCAATATTCTTGTGAATGAAAGCTTTTTTGAGAGTAACATTCAAGGAGGCATTGAATATTTGTCATGTAATATAACATCTCAAAGAACAAATTTCTCTCTCGCTTTTAATTCTTTTAAATCAAATATCAAGCATGGCTTGCTTATGGCGCCATTATTAAATTCTGTTGGAAGAATTACAAACAATACATTTGTGAATCATTCCCTGGGAGGCATCCTTATTAATAATGGTTATGACCTGCTGATATCAAGGTGGTACATGACTTTCCATGTATCGTACGAGATATTTTCCAATGTATTTAACCACAACAATGGGCTCTATGCTGTTAACATGCGTCTCACACAAAACAGTCCTGTTCAAGAAATATTGTTTATGTATAATGAACTCATCAACAATCAAATTAATGATTCGTTTCCATTTTTGAATCCAAGAAGCCAGGCAAATGCTGTCATCGTTGTTTCTTCGAGTAATATCAAAGTGCAAAGAAACAAGATTTCTAATCCTGCATCTGTGCGGGAAATGTCCACTCAGTTGATTGACCCTTCAGTTGATATCAGTGCTGACTACAATTACTGGGGTAGTGCCAAATATGAAAACTTCTATAACTTAATCTTTGACCGTGATGACCGTTACAATCTGGCAGTCATTAAGTACTTTCCTGCATTGAGAAATGACCGACTCTATGATGAGTTTACAATAATTGATCCCCCTCCAAACCTGGAGAATACGTTCATTCGTAATAATGTCCTTGGTGGTGAACTGAAAAAAAAGTTGACCTTAGATGCAAAACGCTATCGGGTTGACAAAGATATCTATATTGAACCAACTGGCTGGTTGGATATACCTCCAGGAGCAGTGCTAGAATTTGATAATTCTATTGGAATGGTAATTTATGGAACTCTTGTGGCAGATGGGAAGCAAAGACAATGGGTGGAATTTGTCTTACAAGATGATTTTGAATCTGTTGTTGAAAATTTGACTTTTCCTGTGAGACTAGCAGATGGCAAGGATTCTCTTGAGGGACGTGTTGAGGTAGAAATTGACGGTGAATGGGGCACTATCTGTAACAAGGTAAGTATAGGAAAAGTGTATAACAGACATGAGAGTGTATGACAGTGTTTTAATTTTGGGAATCTATTGATGCTAGTTTTGGTTGTCAAACTTCAGTCTTGTAAGATGCTCATAAATTTAAGTGGGTTTACATTACATAGATAAGTAGATTTAATAACCACTTGATGTTTTAGTTGACAAACAACACACACACTGTAAACAGAATTAGTTTTTCATAGTATGTTAATTATAAAGCAAATTTTTTTTTTTCAAAATCCAGCTAGGTAATTTAATTTTCCTTAAATCCTATATTTCTTCTTAGAATGATTTTTAATTAGAGAATTAAAACATTTTTTGCCAACAATTATGATATAAAAGAAATTAAAATTGACATTAAAAACTTTCTAAAACTTGCTGTAAAGCTTAATTCTATTGTAATTAAATCCAAATTACAGCCATAAAATTATTTCAAAGTTTTTGATCATAATGTAGTGATTTAGGTCCTCTTACTTTGAGCACTGTTTGTAGAAAAATATGGTAGAAAAAGTAGCAGCAGTTGACCAGTGCATATATATATATATATATATATATATATTTCCCTTTGCTTAGAGTGTTTCCCTCCAACATGGAAATATAAGTAACATTTTTCTTGTTTTAAATATTGACATGTGGACTCTCTAGTCAGTGGAAGGCATACCTTTCACAATTAAACTTTTTCTTCTATTGTCTTGCATTTTGCTTTCATTCCATATTGTTTCAATGAAAATGTATTGAGTGGTACTGTTACCTCCTCCTGTGATAAAAATATCACTTCAGTTAGAATTTGTTTTTTGGGAATGACCTAGTTGAGATAGACAATACATAAATTCTACCATTTTATGCAAACATATTTTTTGTTTTTTCTATGAATTTTTGGGATGAGGCATTATCATTACTTGCATTAACTCTTTGTTGTTATTGCCCCAGTTTGCTAACAATAAAATGTGAATCACATTTTGTCTTCATACTTGAGGTTATGTTCTTGTGAAAAAATGATTTTCTGTTGATGCTGAATAATCAATAAAACAAAATATTTAAAAAGTTTTCACACACACACACACACACACACATATATATATATATATATATATCTGAGATGAGGTATTATGTACATTATTTGGACTATTGTCCTCATCTTTGTCGCCATATTTATTACAACGTTTCGACTTTCGCCAGGTGGTTGGAATGTCGAACTGAACCTTTTATTTCGCTCACTGGGGTAGACTGTTCTATTTCCACGAGCCATGTTTAATGGATCTCAGTTATCAGTTATCTCCTGTTAGCCGGCTAAGGCAGAGGGAAAATTAACAGGAGATAACTGATAATTTTCCCTCTGCCTTAGCCGGCTATTGACCTCACACTCTTTGGGTTCTGTCACTGGATCAAACCAATGCCTTTATCCACTGTGCCATGTGTCCTTGAGAACATCTGTTTATGTATTTCTGGCTATTATAAACCTAATGTCTTTGGCAACCATTTTTACCAGTGCTCATATTGCAATTTTTGCTGTTATCATTGCATGTTTTTACCAGAGCTCATATTGCAACTTTTGTTATTATCGCTTTTCTCTGGCACTCCTTATTACTAGTTCCCATATTGTATTCATTTCTATGCTTGGTCGGCTCAGGAGATTTTTGTGGCCTAGCATATGTGCTGATTCCTTAAGTTTCTGAATTTTCCAATGGTGTTCCTTGTCTATGATCTCAACCTGATCCCACAGATGGTGGTGATCTCCCTTCTCTCTCCATATGTGGTCAGCCACGCCTGATTTTTTCCACTTTCCCTCGTGTTACAGCTTTCTGGTGTTCTTGAAGCCTTACCTTAAGGGGGCGGCCTGTCTCTCCTTTATATTCCTTTCCGCAGCTGCGCGGGATAGCATACACAGTCTTTAGTCATGTTCTCCTCTGGGGGGGGGTCTTACTTGGGAGAGATAAAAAATGGTTGCTGAAGACATTAGGTTTATAATACCCAGAAATACACACACAGATTTCAAGGACACATGGCACAGTGGATAAAGGCATTGTTTAGATCCAGTGACAGAATCCAAAGAGTGTGAGTTCAATACCCGGCTAAGGCAGAGGGAAAATTAACAGGAGATAACTGATAACTGAGATCCATTAAACATGGCATGTGAAACTAGAACAGTCTACCCCAGTGAGCGAAATAAAGGGTTCAGTTTGACATTCCAACCAGGGCACAGCGTACAACGGTCAAAATGTTGTAATAAATATGGCGACAAAGATGAGGACAGTAGTCTGAATAATGTAAATAATATATAACATAGAAAGGAATTAAAAAAATACCCCATTTCTATAGCTATTTCACCCTACAAGAACAACCTTGCAGGATTTGTCAACACCAAGGGGTTAGGAAATAAAATAAAGAGACCTTTTTATTTTGTTGACAAATCCTGCAAGGTTGTTCTTGTGGGGATGAAATAACTATACAAATGGGGTATTTTTGAATTCCTTTCTATGTAATTTATTTATATATGTTCTGTCATAATAAATACATTGAGCTCTATTTGTCGATCAGTTTTAATATTTTATATTAGGATTCACTTGGATTATTTACCTATGGATTATTTCCTTTGTGTATGTATGTATGTATGTATATATATATCTTGTATGGGTATGTGGCTGAGTGGTTAGAATATTCACATTCCCGTCCATGAAACCCAGGTTTGAATCTCATCATGGTCAACTTGTCAGGAAGGATATTTCCTGATTTTATCAGACTGTAGGGGTTGATCCCAGTCTGCGGCATCTTTGGAAAGTGCCTGAAAACCATACCATGGGTTGATCCAAGCCTTGTGAGTGAAACTGAGTTGACAGAACCCTTGGGGGCTGTCGATGGCTGTGCTAGCACAAAGTCACATCATTGTGGCTGAGGGCTTGAGTGTTCTGGCCTTATTCAAATTGTTGATCATGCTGGGTAACATGCTCTTTCCCTGTAACTGTTACTAAGGTCTGCTCAGTTGAAGTATAAACCACAGGTGGGCTGTAGGTGTTGAATAAATACAAAAATGAGCCTGAGCAAACGTCTACAATAGGGGTTGGCTAGCTCCCCTAGTAGGTAGGTACCCTTGAATATGAGTGGCCAGCTTTATATATATATATATATAACGTCATCCACAGACAGACTGTTTCGCTGTTTACAGCTCATCAGTGTGGCTAGACATCCGGTTGCCTCTAGCTAGGATCGAAACCCGACTGAATTGGTGTCAGTCGGAGCTTCTAACCACTAGGCCGTCGGCGCACGGAAGGAATGAAGGTGGATTTTTAGCATATTTATTTTTAGAAACATGCCCAGTGACTGACAGTGACTCAATTCGCTTTCGTGAAGTCTCGCTATATAGCTATAATAGTCACTGTTTACCGACCCACACCTCACCCCCAGAGTGCTCAACTGAAATGAATTTCAGGAGCAGAAATATATATATATATATATATATATATATATATATATATATTAAATGGTGCAGTGTTATTAATATTATAAAGTAGTCATGCAAAGAATAAATCAGTAAAGTTAATGTAATTAATGGTGAAATCACTTTGCTAACAGATTTAATAAAGCATTAACTTACTAACTATTCATTGAGTGACATGATCTTTGTTTTTAAAATTTTTAAAATGAATTAGATGTTCAGTCCATTTGCAAGTACTTTCGATAAATCTTTATCATTTTCAGGCATGGATATTATTTTCAGTTTTATGTAATTTCGGGTAACTCCTAAGATGAAAATAAATGTAATACAGGTTGAAAGATGTTTTTTTTAAATGTGTGTTATTTGTAACAGTTACAAAATTTTGGAATGTGCAGTGTCACAATGCTAGACTTTTATTTTGAATAATGTAAGTGAGAATGTTTTTGAATATAGTAATATGGCAATTCACAAATTTTATTGTTGCAAGTGTTTTTTTCCATTAGCATGACATGAACTAATTGGTCCAAACATTAGAGTAATGTCCCAGCAGATTTTCAGAAATTTTTTTACTGCAGATCAGTCTTTTAAATCTATTAAACGGTGCAGTATAATGAATATTATAAAGAAGTAGTCATACAAAGAATAAATCAGTAAAGTTAATGTAATTTTATATAAGCTCCAAGTTTGTGTGTGTCTTTTAAAAAATGAATTAAAACGGAATGTCAAATAAACACTGCTTTATCCATTATTCTACAAGCATGTGTCTTATATCCTTCCCAACTTGATGATTCTTGCTTAATGAAAATAGCTGATTTGCATATCAGTCAGTTATGTGCCATGCGTGATACATGCTTCGGCGATCATGTATCCTTCGATACATGACTGACTAGATTTTTTTTTCCCCGCAGTAGGTTGCCATTTCTTTCTGTAGTAGACCAGTTGCCATCCAAAGCTATAGAACCCGGTCTGTTCTGCTATTTACCCATAGCTGGGGGGAAAAGAAGAGGATTCATACCTTTCCCAAGGATATTAGCACATAAGTGAATGCAATGGATTCGGCTGGAATTCAAACTCAGCTCTCTGATTCCTCAATCTGAGCTGCTATCCATTATGCCACTGAGCCTCCCCATATTTGCATATACAGCTTCAAAATTCAAATTTATGAAACATAACTGCCCTGATAATCTTTTCTGAATGACTAGTGGTTTTGTTGATGGGTTTTATAGTTCTTTTTCTTTAATATTATTGGGTTGGAACAAACGTTCATATTATTTTTCAATAGCTAGAGTTTGAATGCATTATTTCACAAATTAAAAAAAAAAACAAAAAAAAAAAATAAAACACATGACTGAAATTGATATAGCTGTATATATGTGTGTGTTTATGTGTATTCTGACATTTCAATGCATGTTTCTATACAATTCAGACCGACTCTTTTTCTTCCTCCCTTGCCTCAAGGAAATAGATTCTGGGGTTCTATTTCTTCACCACTACACTGGGCATCTCCTTCACCTTCTTTCCCCTGTCAATCTACTCATCAGACAAGCAAATGTAATCCTCTCAAAAAACATGCCCCTGTCACTCTTAGAATCTAACATTTTTTTGTCTCCTCAAGCAAGCCAGAATTTGCATATGTGCAAATCCCATCTCGTAGAGATGAGACAAGCACTCATAAATCCCCCCCCCCCAAGAGTGACTATATTTTCTTTTCAGCACTTTGCACACGAGACATGTCTGTGCTCGTTTCGATCTCTCGGGTAAGTCATTTCTTTCATCACAACACCTATTACTACTACAGAAATCTATGTACAAATATCTAAATATTGTCATTACAATTCAATTGAAAAATGCTACAGACGTTTGTTTCAACCCAATAAATGGCTGGATACTTTATGATCAACCTGATATAATTTAATTTTTTTTTTTTTTTTTTTTTTTTTTTTTTTTTTTTTTGCATTTGTCAAGGGCTGGACTGAGCAAAACTCTGTGATTGTGTGCAACCAGATGGGTCTTATTTATAATCCAAGGTTCGGGCAGGCTGAAAGGAAGCAGGAAACCACTTCACTTAATATTGTCATGAACTGGGTTGCATGTGATGCTGAAGATGTTGATATTACAAAATGTAAAGCCCAACTACAGACAGATGATCCAATAGGCTGCACACATGAAGAAGATGTCTACCTTCGTTGTCAGTTGGCAACTTGGTCAGGTGAGAAATCGTTTGAAACAATCAAATCAAAGAAATAGTCATATACAAATATTGATAGCAAAAAAGACCATTATTGCATTGCCAAAAAATGCTTGGATTTCGAACTACTGAGAGAAAAAAAATGAAAATATTGCATTTGTAGTGATATCAATAAAAAAATGACTAAATAACTCCCAACCACTATTAGTAGACTATATAGTAGTATGGTACCGTAATAATTAATTATAAAAGAAAAATTAAAAGTTAAGCGATAAAAAAAATTTTAAAATGTAGGTAAGAATGGTAATTAACAATAAAGAAAGATATTTAAATTATAAAAAAAGTTAAATATAGAACACTCACATGATGCATCAGAACAAGCATTTTATTGCCAAAAGAAACAAAAATTGAAACTTTCTTTTTCTTTCTTTTTCTTTCTTTTTCAACCACCAGAGAAGGCAGATGTTTTGGACAGTCTCAGATAAAACATGTTGCCACCAACAGATAAACAAAATTTCTTTATTTCTGTATACATATATGTTCTTTAAAATATACAATAATTTGTCTGAAAGCAATTTATCATTTTTATTTCTATATTTATTGTATTGTATCTCACATGATTTTGTTTGTAATATTATAATAGAGCGGTTTCATGACGCCCATTTATAACCGAGCGGTTTCATGAAGCCCGTTTATAACCGAGCGGTTTCATGACACCTGTTTATAACCGAGCGGTTTCATGACGGCCATTTTTAACCCTAAAAAAATCCATATATAAACATGATAACATTCAGACGAGGCAAATGCATCAACCATGACATCTTCATTAATCAGCAACTGATGAAAATTAACATGTTAACTGACTGTACTTAAGTTCTATTTTCTACTTGGGTTTTCAGGTTCTTTCTTTATATACACCTACCCCTCTACTATTCCTCAAATCACTCTACATTGGGAAGGTCTAGTGGTACATTTGCAAGGAAACAGAAGTTGAAAAATATGTGAAAAGCTGAGAAATAAAAATGTGGATCCTATTTCCAATGTCTAATAATATTTGGTTACTTATTCATAGATTAACTTGGTGATGCCTCGAGGTTGATAAGTGACACTTGGAACAACTGCTATTTTTGTAATGACCGATCAGCCCTTCCCTCTTTCTCCTGCCACCGGTCTTCCCATCTGTATATCATAGTGTGCAGCTCACAAATCACCCACAGGTGGTTTGAAATTGCTCTTTGACGGGTAATCGAGATCTTCTCTGCCTATTCAAAGTGGGATGCTATTAAGCCTGTGAGAGAAACTTTGTAAAATTCTGGCCAAGTTGTGCTTGATCTGAAAAGTTTTTATTAAATTTATTTCTATTCAGTCAGTGGATTGCCACTTTGAAGATTTTACTTCATAGATTTTATAGCTGGTCATAAAAACAACAGACATTTCAGATGAAATCATTTATGGCCCATTTGATTTGGATGTTCATATCTTAAATGTCACAGTATAATGAAAAGCAATTTTTTAAAAAAAGAAATTAAGCCTAAACATTCTTAATGTCATCTTTTTAAAAAAAAAAAAAAAAAAATCAAGCTTTTTGACTAATCCATATAAAGCTTGTTGAGTGTTCGTCAGAGTGATGATTTATCTTGAAAGCCATTAATTCTGAGTTCAATTCTTGATGGTTATCCAGACTAAGATTAATAGGTAACTAGTTGTGTGGGCATGCATAAAATAATAGGGGGACACTAAAAAGAAGAGAATCTGATGTTTGATCAGCTTTTGAGAAGTAGGTTGCTATAGGGATGTTTCCGCATCTGCCTGTATACACAAGGTATTTGAGAACACACATTGTGAACAATAACTGGAAGTCAATGTTACATAGTATGCACCAAATTTAAACATACTTTGAGTTTGTCTATATTTCTGAGATGAGGTATTATGTACATTATTTACATTATTCGGACTATTGTCCTCATCTTTGTCGCCACATTTATCACAACGTTTCGGCTGTTGTACGCTCTGGCCTTCTTCAGGTGGTTGGAATGACACATGGTACAGTGGATAAAGGCATTGGTTAGATCCAGTGACAGGACCCAAAGAGTGTGGGTTCAATTAAAAGATTCAATTCATTAGAGGAATCCTTAAAATATTAATGATTTGAAGGTCATTTACATGAGAATGAGGATACTAATTTCTTTCACAAGAATAGTCATATCTGCCTATATTTCCGAGACGGGGTATTATGTACACTATTTACATTATTCGGACTATTGTCCTCATCTTTGTCCTCAAGGACACATGGCACAGTGGATAAAGGCGTTGGTTAGATCCAGTGACAGGACCCAAAGAGTGTGAGTTCAATACCCGGTTAAGGCAGTGAAGAACTTGGAGAGGGGAATTAACAGGAGATAACTGATAAATGACATCCATCAAACATGGCACATGGAACTAGAACAGTCTACCCCGGTGAGTGAAATAAAGGGTTCAGTTTGACATTCCAACCACCTGAAGAAGGCCGGAGCATACAACGGCTGAAACATTGTGATAAATATGGCGACAAAGATGAGGACAATAGTCCAAATAATGTAAATAATATACTTTGAGTTTATGATTGTCTAACATGGTAGCAACTACTCTGGTACAGGAAATGAAAAAGGCATGCTATGATTGTGTCAGTAACTGCCAACGATGGTAATTTGGAGGAAGATTGTTGCATTGTTGAGAAAACAGAAGTCTGAACAAAAACTACAGTGCTGACGATACTTTGAAGGCTGCAATCATAGAGTTGATGCCTCTGACATGAGCAGTTACTCCCTAATGTTGGCATGTCACAATGACAATACAATCCATTGCTAAGATGTCCTGCCTGATTTCAATTGCAATCTGTTATAAAGGTCAGTGCTTGGTGAGTTGCTTGGCATTAATAGTCAGAGGACATTGATACCAATGTCACAAGTTGTAAGCTTCTGTTGCGAGAGACAAAAGTTATCTTCCTTTGACTAACCCCTTTAAAAGCTAAATATATATATATATATATATATATATATATATATATATATATGGATAGATAGTCATGTGAACTGCCCAAGAGATCGTTAGGTGCGAAAGTCAAACATCCTATTTTGTTTCTGGTAGTCAGACTAGAAAGACGTATGTATTCAAGTTCATGGCAACTAACATAAGTACTATATATATATATATATATATATATATATATATATACACACACACACACAGGAGGTAAGTTGAATCTGCTACTTTGGTTTCAACCTTATGGTGTATATATATATATATATATATATATAATTTCGATTATAGGTGCAGTTTAATTTATAATTACATGAATCATTCATACAAAAAACAAATATAGAGGTTAATGATTTAAATGTTGAGAATACATCTTCGCAAACAATTTCCATAAGATACACTAACCCCGAAGATGTATATGAATGATATGATCCCTGTTTATAAATTCCAGTTTCATAAGGTCTTTTTTAGTTTTTACAAGCTTTTGTCTGTTCCTACAGACATCCTCGGGTATGGAAATAGATTTGTTCTTGTTTTTTACTTCTCGGTAATAAGAGGACAACAAAAATATAGATGTAATCTGAAAAAATGCTATGAGAAATGTGTTATTATTTTGGAATGTATGGTCGCAGTGCTGAGTTTGAATTTTAAAGTTTAAGGTTGTGCGTTTTTGTACAAATATAGTAATAAGAGAATTCTTTTGTACTGGTAGGTTTTCCGTCAATGTGGCATGAACTATATTGTTCAATAATTACAGGAATGTCATACTTATTATCCGAAAGTTGCACGTTGGATCAGTTATTTTAATTTCCATTATAGGTGAAGTTTAATAAGTGTGACATATATATATATATATATATATATATATATATATATATATATATAAAAAAAAAAAGAAAGAACCATAAGATATACAATCCAGTGTTGTTATTGATATTTTTTATTTTTACGAAACAGTGCTCAATGTAAATTTACAGAGCTTAAATATTATAAATTAACTGAAATTTAATATCTAAATTATAAAATAACTCCCTCCAGCTATGGGTAAAATAGCAGGACAGACTAGGTTCTATAGCCTTGGATGGCAACTGGTCTAGGAGAAGGACAACTCTGAATTCAAAACCTGCGGAGGGTCGTTTGGGAACCTTGTGGCATTCGGTGTACCAGGTCTCTGTATTCGTCCCTTCAAAAAGTGTGGATGGTCCTGCACGACTTCACCACTATAATCAAATCTCATGTGCCGGTGTCGGGCTGTTGGTTTCCTGGAAACTGATCTGCTTGACCCTCATATGTCGAGTCTCGACGGAAGAGTCGATTATTATATATATATATATATATATATATATATATATATATATATATAGTGTGTGTGTGTTCATTTTTTATGTATATTTATATATTTATGTGCATAAGTGTGCTGTGTATTTGTGTAATGAGATAGATTTATTTATTTATGCTTATTGATTTTATATGACTGATCTTGATTTGCAGGTGTGACAATCCCAGCCATTCCGAAAGGGGGACTAATTAAAGAGACACAGATCCGCACCCTGAAGATTGACAAGGCTGGCCTTCTGGACCACTCCAAAATGTTCTTCTCACCAGCTCTACGCATCGATTACAATTACTACGATATAACGAATGTCACAGTGACTAGTTCCACATCTGATGGCATCTATATCAGGTTTAATCACCCATTTACCAATAACAGGTTACAATCGTGCAGTGTATTTAATAGTCTGGGAAATGGCTTGGTGGTAAAGTACCCGTTTTTGGAAACTGCATATGGTCGTTATCATAGTAACAAACAAACAGGGTTTTTATATGACCCTTTTTTTACCGAAGCTGAAGTAATGAGCGTTCTAAATTTCATGCGAATGGATCAGGTGACTTTTCTAGAGAAGTCTAAGGAATATGAAATAACAAGCGAGATGACTTTATTCAAAACAAAACCGGGATCTTATTCAATGAAGGCAACATTTGAATACAAGTTTGTATCACGAAATGTACCACTGACATTACAAATCTTAAACTACAACCCTTTAACCAGTGTTGAATCGTTGAACATTTCAGATAGCAAAAAGACATACAGAATTGAAGATGATCTTATTGATTTCCCACTCATCTCTCCTCGAGGACGTTTCACAATTAAACTATCTGTTTCAGGTATTTTATCAGGCCGGTTCGCTTTTGTCGTACTTAGAGGTAAGAATATGTTTTTTTTTTTTTAAATCGTACATTGATTCTCTTAAGATATTTGAAGTCAGTTATTAATTATCTTCTGTACTATGTCCCTTCAGGATGGTGTATTTGGCAGCAAGGCTTCTGACTGGGACATCGGAGGTTTTGAGGAGTGTGAAACCACCTCTTAATTGCTGTTTTTCCCAGGTCCACCCAAAGCTCGGGCGATAGCACCTGTTAGGATCCCAGCTATAGGCAAATAGTGAAGCCTCAAGTGGGAATTTAAACACTAGTAGAGTATAGAAATATGTTTTTACAGTAAACCGAAAATACATTTTCATAGCAAAATGACAATCCATACAACACTAAAATGGTAGAAAAATCAATTTTTGTCGTAAAATTACTAGCAATACATTTTTATGAAATAATTACCAACAATACTTTTTATCATCTACAAATTATACATCTAAGAAGCATACATTTGCCCTGAAAGTAAAAAATTATGTATAAAATCATGGCTCTCCACAATTTCCTGTCCTTTGTAATTTAACCCTATTCCAGGTTATGACCATTTTGGTCTTGTATAACTTTCAATTGATACTGCTCAATTTATGGGTGAGGTATCAATTTGAAACACCAGATATGTTACTAAAAATAGACTGTTATGAAAATGTTTTGTCGAATTATTCTTAAAGTTGATATAGTGAATGCTTCTTTTGTTTCATAATTGCTGCTGTTTGCATATTTTTTGCTGATGTCAAGATTTTTGTAATTTATGAAAATTGTATACAGTCTTACCTTAGACCAAGGGTCGGCAACCTATGGGCCGGATCCAGCCCATGAAGGCATTTTGACCGGCCCGCGAGCCTGATTATCAATGACTCTATTTTTAACATGAGAGACGACCTTCAAATGAAATTTGTTATGTCATTTTCCATTGAATGTCTACACATCTCAGTGCACTAAAAATATTAGACTATCGGCCAGTTATCTTTCATGAGACTTATTTTACCAAGTTGCGTTGCCTATGTTTAATGTCAAATAATGGATACATATTTGTTATGACCCTTGGCTACATTAAAAGATAACAGAAGCAAAATGAACGATAAAGTGAAAGAGGCCAGGGAGGGACAGACATGTGAGGTAGCAGAAATCTAAAAACGGTTAAACATACACGCATTATACATACATGCCTCATGAATGTGTGGATGATACTGCATGTGTACGTATGTAAGTGTATATGTTTGCAACTATTTGTACTTGTATGTATGGGTATATGTGCTTCGTTTTTGTTTTGTGTGTGTGTGGTTCGTTTGAGGAACAATTTTCAATAACAGTTTCAAACCAACACGTCATAATTTCATCCATTTCACTTCGGTTGATTTTTTTCACTTTGAAGTATTTCCTTGAGGAAAAGTAATTTTTGTTAGGTGTTTTTTTAATTTTAGATTTTCTTTTGTTTTTCTGATTTCTCAATGTTTATTTTCATTATGGTTTAAATATTTAGGTTGACATGGGTCTGCATATGTAATTTTCCATAATTTTTCATTAATGGTCTTCATCTGGCCTACGACCTGTCATTAGCACGATCCAGCTGCAGGGTCAAATGAGTTGCTGACTCCTGCCTTAGACTTTTAATACAAGGACTTTATTCACAAACCATAACAGTTCAAAAACGAGAGATACACAGAGGACTTTTTCTTTTTAAATTTTTCTTTTATAAGATTTTATAACTGGTTATAAGTCTAGCAATGGTCATTAAACAGGTAAGTCATGAAGTAAGGAGTGGCTGTATTTGATTAAGAAACAGTCACTATTTGCTATGATCAAATAGTGCCTCCCCCACCAACTGGGGTCAAAAATCCGTGAAAGTATAAAAATACATATTCATAGTTTAAAAAAAAAAAATGCCAGCAATACATTTTTGTAATTTAAAAAAAAAAACGCAAAAATAGATTTTTGAAAAAAATAAAAAAATAAAATTGCCCAATTAAATTTTGGCATTAGTTGACCCATAAGTAGTTGATATGCCATTAGAGAAAGAAACAAACAATCTCTCTAGATTAAGTGGCTCTTGAGCAAAAAAAAACAACTTATGTAAATAATCTGAAAAGCCATGATAGAGGAGGTTATTTTCACACTTAAAAAGTAGATTTAGATATACTGACATAAACATAACTCCCCTGTTTTTAATATAATCAAATAAAATTGAAGTTTAAGGACACATGACCCAGTGACTAGAACCAAAGAGTTGTGAATTCAATACCAAGTCACAGCAGTGGTGAACCAAAACTTGGAAAGTTGAGTTTAAGGAATTTAACTGAGACATCCGGAAGAGGCATGGCATGAGGAACTAGAACAATCTACTCTGGTGGATGAAATAAAGGGTTTGATTTGAAATTCCAATCACCTGAAGAAGGCCAGAGTGTACAATGACCAAAATGTTGTGAATATGGTAATAAATGAGGATAACAGTCTGAATAATGTAATTCAAGTAAACATAAACCTCATCTCAGAGATATAGATATATATTTAAATTTTTAATTTGGCATATTAAAAAAAATGCTATAAAATCTAAAAGTAAATTTTTTTTAAAAATTGAAAAAAATTACTTTATTTTTTTTTATCATTCAGAAATTAAAAAAAAATTAATTTTTGACCATTTTTCTTCATCAGCAACATTTTGAAAGCAATAAAAAGATGGAATAGAATTTTTCCATTGGTATTTACAAACCAGCAAATTCTTAAAATTCTCTTATACTAAAAATATTGACATAGCCTGTAGGTTCTTGGAGTGAACATTAAGATTATAAATAATGCTAGTCATTTCATAGCATGAAACTGCTTCTGTGTAATGCAATTGTTTTTTTGTTTTTTTCTCTCAGGTGGCTTTCCCTATGTGAATCCAAAAATCCACATGAGGAATTGTACTGTCTCCCAAAATGAAATTGGCATTATTACCAAGCATTACAATAATCCATCCAATGATAAACAAGAACTCTACTTCCGATTCAAAAATGAAAAGATTGAATTTTATTTTGTAAATGTACAGAACAACTTAAAGATGGCAATGCATGTGCCAAGCGTTACTAAATACCATGACAATTTTATTCCAACCTATGAAGAATTAACCAAACCTCAAAGAGTTGGTTCCATCACTTATCATATCAAGAACTCCAAATTTACAGATAATCGTAGAGGAATATTTGCCGAGCACAATCATGTAGAATTTGCTAACAATGTCTGGCACTGGAACATTTCTTTGAGTGAAATGAGCAGAAATCAAGAAGGAGGCCTTGAGATTGAATTACCAAGAGTTAACGACATCAGTGAACGCATCTATCACAGTGTTGTTTTGATGGAAACTCTTTTCAAGTCTAACAGTGATTTCTCCTGTAAGATTCAAGGTTATTATGCGGAAGTTGCCATTTCCAAGAATGTGTGGCGAAAGAATAAATGTCAACTTGGATTATTGGACATCACAGGAATGGAAAAAAACATCACAATTTCTGGTAACAATTTTATTGACAATCTTTGCAAATATGTTGTTGATTTGGATATCACAAGCCATTTTGAATATTTTGATCCAGTAAAAGGCAATTTTACATTTAATAATCTCAAAGACAATGGTTTAGTCTCTTTAGCCAAAACGAGTGATGGATATCCATCTACATATGCACTTGCAGTGAAGGGGCTGCAAGATATTGTAGTCAATAGAAACCTTTTTAACAATCCAAAGTTGCAGTATGAAGTTATAGCTGGAGTAATGGCACTTTCTTTGAGTAACATAATCAATGTTAAAGAAAATTGGTGGGGGAGTTCCGATCAAATATTAATTCGAAAAAGAATCTTTGATTTTGATTTCTGGAACAGTTATGCCAGAGCTGAGTATCTTCCATTCTTGATAGAAGGCAGATTTGAAAGCAGATTGTCTTCGGAACCTAAACAGGAGATTATAAGAGATGAAAGAGAACTTTCTGGACGTATTGAAAGCAATACGGTCTTGTTTCCTTCAAGCACACCCTACAAAGTCCTTAGTGATGTTACTGTAATGCCAGGGGTGACCTTAAAAATAGAACCAGGCACTGTGTTACATTTTAGTCCTAATGTTGGCATCTTGGTTCTGGGAATCTTGCAAGCCAGAGGGCTTGTTCACAATAGAATACAAATGTTTCCTAGTCCTACACGTGTTGCTCAAGATTCGTCAAAGGTCAAGCGGTCAGCAGTGCCAGAGAAAGTACGGCTTCGAGGAGGGTCTAGCAAAAATGAAGGCTTTCTGGAATTTTTTAATACCACTTCAAATAAATGGAACATAATGTGTGACAACAAATTTAATGAGAAAATGGCTGAAGTAGTTTGCAGACAACTTGGATTTGAAACTATCAATGTCAGAGTACGTTTCTCTCATTTATATGACTACTTCATTTATGGTTTTACGACATATTTTATGAAAGAGTTTTGGGCTTATACCTACCAGTGCACTGGTGATGAGGACTCTATGAACCAGTGCACCAAACGGATTAATTATCGACTAATGACATGCATCCATAAGGAAGACTATACATTTGTACAGTGTGGAAAACGGAATTTGGAGTCGATGTATAATTACTGGGGCAACATTCGATTCTCATTGTCTACATACCAAGAACCAGTATGGGATGAAACCCAGGAACTATCTTATCTGGAATACACTGATATTCATGGGGCAGGAATCCTTCATGGTAAAAAAGTAGGTGCTATTCAATCAGTCTACCGAACACCTGTTATTCGTCATGTTAACATTTCTGGGTGTGCCCTGAATGGTTATGATTTCGTTGCCCCCAGGCATGATCTGACCATCGAAAATCAAAACATCTCCCAAAATCTTGGTTATGCTGTGAATATCTTAGTTCTAAATGGCGATTCTCGAAAAGGAAAAGATTCAACATTTTTTCCCTTGATTGAAAGCAGCATTCCTTATTATCTGTTTGGTTTAGTGGAAATCTGTCGTATGGAAAGAGAGATAACATTGGACACACGTATGCTTTTGTATTACAAGTATACATCGCAGGCTGTCAATTGTGTTAAATCGATTCGAAGCAACAACAGGTACAAAACAATTGCGCTACGCTTTTTGCAAATGAATCTCTACAGTGAAGACTTTACAAGGAATGTTATTGAGATATTTGATGGCCAGAAACAAATTGCTGAATTGTTTGCCAATTCTTCAAAGAATGAAATTTTGAAACTCTATTCAAGTACTGTGCCAAATGCGCTGACGGTCCATATCCATGCCTCCATGGCTGATCGAGAATATGGTTTCATTGCGGAAGTTGTCAATGAAATGTTTGGAACCAGTTCTGGTAAGTATTTGTTGCATGGATTTATTGCAGTATCATTTTGTCAAAATGTTTTGTTTGAGTTTTGGTATGAAGCAGTGAATTTTTGGTTTTGGAGTTCTGGGTTTTGTGTATTTTATGGTGGCTTGATTGGGACAAAATGAAAACTTCTTGTATTCACCAATTCTTTTGGGAGAGAAAAGCAAGAGGGGAAATGATACTTGGGCTAAAAGGTTGATTTTGTTATCAATTCTTTGATGCTCTTAGCATGTCTTTTCTGCCAAAATTTCTTTTCCTCTGACTTTGCTTTCTTTTTTCAAATTTGGCAGTCACAATGAATTGAGCTTCTCTACCTTCATGTGTCAAAAAATGACAGGAGAGTCATATATATATATATATATATATATATATATATATATATATATATATTATATGGTGGTACTTATTAGAAGGCGCTCAATATCAGAGATAGAGCTAACATATTTGGTTGGATTGATGTGAGTTTGTGACCCTGGGTTTCACACTTTTGCGATCATCAGACAGCATGAAACCAGGGTCACATCAATCAATATATATATATATATATATATATATATATAATATATATATAATATAATATATATATATATATATATATATATATATATATATATATATATATATATATATATATATATATATATATATATATATATATAGAAATTTATAAAAACAAGGATCTTTTCATTCACAACAGGTTAGGGGTTTTTTGTATATTATTTGAATTGTTTTGCGATGATGGTTTCTCGCCAATTAAATCATTAACCTTTGCATTTGTTATTGTGTGAATAATTCATGAATTTGTAAATTGATTGCACGTTTATCGAAATATATATATATATATATATATATATATTTTCGATAAACGTGCAATCAATTTACAAATACATGAATTATTCACAAAAACTAATCACAAAGTTAATGATTAAATGGCGAGACATCCATCATCGCAAACAATTCAAATAGTAAAAAAACCTCCAGATCCGTTATGAATGGTTGATCCTGTTTATATAAATTTCTGCTGTATTATATTATTTTTTACTACAAGCTTTCGTCTGTTCCTACAGACATCTTCAGGTATATAATAGATGTTGTTCTTGTTTTTTTCTCTTAGTAATAAGAGGACATCGAAAATATATGTGTTATTGTATCCGAAATGCTATTGAAAATGAGTTATTGGTTTTTGAACGCGTCAAAGCAACGCTAAGTTTGATTTTAAATTTTTTAAAATGTTTGCGTTTATACCAAATATGGTGTTGAACAAATTTTTACTGGTAAGTTTTACTGTCAAAGTTAAATCATTAACCTTTGCATTAGTTTTGTATGAATAATTCATGTATTTGTAAATTGATTGCACGTTTATTGTAATTTAAATATCTGATCCATGTGCGACTTTTGGTTAATAAGTGCGACATTACTGTAATTATTGAACAATATAGTTCATGCCACTTTGACTTTTATATAAACAAGGATCAATTCATTCATAACGGATCTGGAGGTTTTTGTGTACTATTTGAATTGTTTGTGATGATGGATGTCTCGCCATTTAAATCATTAACCTTTGCATTAGTTTTGTGTGAATAATTCATGTATATATATATATATATATATATATATATATATATGACCAACAAAAGTTCTTTCTTTGTTAAGGATTTATATTGAATACAATTATAAAAAAAATAAGAAAGAATATCCTTTTGTTGATTATTTTTTTTTTTTTTTTTTTTTTTTACTGAAATCATATAATATGTGCATGTGATATTTATTTTTATTTAAATTTTACATTTAATTGAGAATCACCTTTTGATGTATTATAATTGTTTGAGATGATAAATCCATTATACACTGTGGCTGATCTTTTTGTTTTGGGTTCATTGTAAAGAAATGTGAAGTTATATTTTATTTTTTTTTGTTTTATTTTCTTATGCTTTAATGACTGGTTTATCTTCAATTTAAAAAAAAAAATTAAAAATAACTATTTCTATTTTAATTTTATATTATTCTAATTATTGTTGCTATTATTCGAGAAGAGTTGTTAATATTATAAGTTTTGTTTGGGAAATTCAACTGCTTTTCACATTGAATCTGTTATTGCAATTATGACCCCTTAAACTTGACACTTGCAGAGATGAGTTTTCTAACCTTAGTTGAATAGGGCAGTGATTACTGTGAGAATGCTGTTGTGTTTAAGTAGAAAACATGTGCCTGCTTGTATATTTTTCCTGTAACAATTATTGAGGACACAAATGTGAGTCTGAGTAATAAATGAGTGACAAAAAACAGTATATAAAACAAATGCAATGTACTTATTAACAAAATTATACAATGGCAATAAAAGAAGAAAACATTTAACCTAGAGAATGTATGTTTGCAGAATGTATGTAAAGGAGTCTGAGAGAAAAACAATACATTAAAAGTGAAATGAATGTGTCTGAGCGAGGGACGCTTTTTTTTTCTTACCACCTGCAATTCCATCTTATAGCTGAAGTTGTGGAAGAGGAAAGAGAGTGACTGAGAATATTATTGCCTATTTATAGGTATAAGGAGCATCTCTTAAGTGGGGTCAACCACAAAACTTCCCTCCAGATAGAGAGAATTTTATATGTCTATAAAGTTTGCATACATTTGTTTTGTACCTTGTAAACTGAAAAGAAAGAGTCAAACAGTGTGGTTGAGATGTGTGCGTTTAAACATCTTGATGAAAATGTGCTTGTGTGAAGTACTGTGTCACCAGGGTGCTGTATAATTTTCTAGTAGGTTAGAATATACCATGCTCTGGAAGATATGCTGGTAGGGTAGAGAGATCAGCAGTTGGTATTAAAATTTTGTGGTTTTTCTAATGCTCTACATTGAATTGATTTTTGCTTGGAAGGTCAGGTTTCTTTTGCTATGGATGGATGATCTTGGTACACAAAATTTTAATAGAAAAAGCTTTGATTTGTAAAGTTATTGAGATGTTGCTGGTGAAATTACTACTGAGTGTCAAATGCATGTTTTGTGAAAAACTTTTGAAGATATCTAGTATTATTGTTTTTTTTTTCTTGGAGATGCAGCTATCTATGTGTTGTAATGGAATGTCCCACGCTCCCTATTGCCTATGTGAACTGACTATGTCAGTAGATATATAAGTACAGGATCTACCTGGTGGGCTTGCTTCAGCAATTAGTTGGAGATTTGTCTCCAGCTAAGCTAGTCGAACTCTCTGACTTCGAGGAACCCAGATGAGGCTATGCCAAAGGGCAAAGTCTCATCTGGGGAGGTAGACAGCTACCCGACCCTGTTTTTTTACAGGGTCTACAGGGAATTTTTTCCTGAGCCTATGGGCTTGGATACCCCATGTTAAATTTGGCTTTGTGCCACATCTGACTACATGGGGCAGTTGGCAAATATCCTTGTTTTGGCAATTAGTTGGAGATTTATCTCCATATGTGCTCGTCGAACTCTATGCTTAGCCTCGTCTGGGTTCCTCTCTGCCCAAATGCATAGCCTCATGCTGAATGGGGTGGTAGACAGCTACCCGGCCCTGTGTATAGGGGATCCTCATGAAATTTTGCCTGAGGCTCAATTTTACTCCACACTAGCCTGCTAACTGATTCCCTGTCTTTCAGTAGTTTATTCTCTTTTACAATAAATCTCTCTTTCTTTCATCTATACCCATGTTCTTTTCACTCGAGTACCATCTTTGTCTGTTTGTAGCCTTCTTTAAGGATGCAACACTCTATTTATTATTAAATTGTATTTGCAGATTTCTTAGTTTTGTTCATGTTAACATCTTTGAAGAGTGAAAGGTCAGTGGGTTGCCATGGAATGATTTCACATCTTTATCTGTTGAGCCTGGGAGAAAACATTGCGGTTTAATTGAGAATGGAGTTAATATAGTGGTATTTTCTCATGTGGTCTGCATAAGTTTATTTGTGAATTCTGGGCAGTATAAGCTGCGTTTTGCACGCTTAAAACTTATCAGACGAAAGTTGTATTTTTTGGTTTGGTGAAAAAATTTTTGTGATGCGTAGTGGAGACTTACCTCAGCGACCCAGAAGGCTAGACTCATGTGTATGTTTTACGATGCAGTGTGGAGACAGTGAATTGGTGAGCTTCAGTCTGAAGGTGAATCGGGCAGCACTTTGTGTGGACAGAAGTAGTGGTGTCACTTGTAGCCATTTTTATTGGCGGGTTCTTGTTGCTCATTGACTGAGCGATGGCTGGGTCAGGTGCATAAAATCATGGTACACTCATTCAAGAGCAGTCTCGTTCATGAGAAAGAGTTGTGTACTTGAGATTGAGGAACAGAGATAATTGTGGAATTGATTTGCTTGTTGGACTTGTGTGTAGTTTTTTTTTTGTTGGATGAAACTTTCCAAAAATAAAACTTTCCCTCAGTCCTTTCATTGATTGTTTTTTTTTTTTTAAATTGGGAGATTTTCTTGTCTTTATGCCTAGTGAACCTTTGTTAAAAAAGAGCTTTCATGTTTAAGCTTGATGTCATCTTCCTGCTGGCAATTTTTAAAAAACTATTCACTCTTCTTACATTTGCACATGTATCAGTATATTAGTGATTTTCTAAGCGAAGTATGGAGCACACAGTGAGAATCAAAGTCTGTTGTAATTGATCTAGAAAGGCAAGCTTGTTAACCATTACACCGCATTGAAGTGCCCAGTTAGTGATTGATGGATTGGCCAACATTTTATTTATTTGTTTTTTTTTTGTTTTTATTCCTTTGCTACTAGCATGGATAATATTTCATGTTTCTAAAACTCTAAAAACATTTCTTTTAATTTCCTTTTTCTTTGAAATTTCAGAAAGTAAAAATAAACATATCATAAAGAATGCTGCAATGGAAAGGAACGAAGATGGCGCTATCCAATATCAGAATGTTGGAGAAGTCAATCCGTCTGTTTATATCCAGTCTTGTTCTGTGAAAAGTAACGGTGTGAGTATGCTAAACATGACCTCGCCCCCTATCAACAAAATCTGGCTGCAAAGGTCTCGCAAAATGGTCATCTCAAACAATTTCTTTTCTCACAATCGAGGAGGAACTTGGATCCAACTTGAAACGGATTCGCTTGCAACTGCAATTGAAGCAAACATCACAAACAATGTATTTACATATGGAAATCATGGAGAGGCATTGATTGTTTTGGGACATTATTATCAAATGGTTTTTGTCTATGAAAACTTCATTTTTAATAACACGGCTGGAGACTACAAGAATGCCGTCCTTCTGGAGGATGTAAGGGTTAAATTTACTTCAAATTATCTTGCTAGAAATACTGGACATTATATTTTAGCTGCATATGCAGGGGAAAAGATTGAATTTTCCCAATTGTATAACAAAAACACTTTGAAGGACAACAACTCAACAGCTCTTTATGAATCGACTATCAAGGTGGGCAATGGAATGCCAAGATTTGTGAATAATTATTTGGTAAATCCAGACAATGCTTTTGAACTTGAGTCTGCTGTTATTACAAAGTAAGAACTTGTTTTTATTACTTCGTAAATTTTCATTTCTTTCACAAAGTTTTAATCAATTTCATTATGGAAACATTTGGTAAGATGGGAGATAAATCTACAAACTTACCACTTGTCGACTCCTAATCATTATGCTAAATTTATTATTATTGTTTTTGCTTCAGAATAGTGGTTTGAAATTACTTGAGCTCTGTGATCAATCACTTTAACTTTTAACTAGCATTGTACCCATTAAAAATATATCAATATTCTACCTAAATCATTATGGCATCTGTGCCATCTGAAAAGTGCTCTACATCGGTGCTTCTCAAACTATATGGTAGACTGGCATTTTTTTCTCAATATATCACCTACCTGTAATATTTTGTGGTAATATTAATATATACCAGAAATGATGTCTATATAATGAATATAATGAAAGTTGACTATTTTTTTATCTTCCATTTATTTTGCAAAAATAATTCAATATAAAAAAATAAGCAGTTTATTAAAACAAAAATTATATAACCTTAATCTTTACAAATAATTCCTTAGCATAGCCTGGACACTGGCTGCATACCAGTAGCTGATGGTTAGCATACCGGCATGGGTCTATGGACCACCACTTTGAGAAGCACTGCTCTACACATGATATATGTTGTAGTAAAAACAAATTAAAAAAAATAATCACAAACTGCCTGTTTCAGGCTTAGGTCTTCAAATGCACAGTGAAACCCCAGGCGGCATTTTTACATGTGAATATGTGAACATATGACAGTGTTTCTTAAGCCATTTGTCACTAACAAGTCTGCTTCACCCTATGCAGTGATTCAATTCCTATCGGTATTGGTGCAAAGAATGGATGGTGAAATATCACCAGAATGAGAAAAGTAAATCCAATTCTTGTTTTCGGTAGACTGGTCTTTATTTGTGCAATCATCTAGCATAGTTTGGGGCATGGGCAAGTGGCATTTGGATCATCTTCATTTCTATTTCTCTCTTATGAAAGACGAATGGACCAAATTTTCTCTTCAACATTTAAGAACTTCAACTGTTCCTCTGCCTATCTCTGACTATAATTGTTGCATTTACTGCCTTTCTTTATATGTCTTGTTCGATGGCTTGTGACTGGTCCTTATCTAGAATGTGGCTTGACTATATAATCCAACAACTGCAATGATTGGTACTTGATCCAAAATGTTTTTCTGTATTTATTCATTTTGTTTTTTTTTTACTTCTGGACAGTGGATGGAAATGTTCACATCTTTATTTACTGATTGTCATAAAACACTAGCCACTTCAGGCCCAGATAAAATCATTTACAATCCACTTGTCTATGTGGGCATCTTAACAAATAGACAAATACAGTCCAATATATGTTTATATCTCTGAGATGAGGTATTAGGATTACTTACATTATTTACATTATTCAGACTGTTATCTTCAATGCCATATTCACAACATTTTGTCCATTGTACACTCCGGCCTTCTTCAGGTGATTAGAATTTTGAACCAAGCGTAGATATGATTACAATATGGGAACCAGTAATAAGGAGTGCTAGAGAAAAGCAATAATAACAACACAAAAATTGCAATATAAGCTTTGGTAAAAAAAAAAAAGAATAATAATAATAATAGTAAAACTGTGATATGAGCACTGGTTAAAATGGTTGCTGAGACATTAGGTTTATAAGTCCCAAAAATTTATACACAAATGTCCTCAAGGACACATGGTCCAGTGGATAAAGATGTTGGTTTGATCCAGTGACTAGACCCAAAGAGTTGTGAGTTCACTGCCAAGCTGTGGTGAATCAGAGAGTTAAAGGGAAATAACTGAGACATCTGGAAGAGGCATGGCATGGGGAACTAGAACAATCTACCCTGGTGGATGAAATAAAGGGTTTGATTCAAAATTCTAATCACCTGAAGAAGGCTGGAAACGTGAATATGGTAATGGAGATGAGGATAACAGTTCGAATAATGTTAAGTAAATACATTCCGTTGTGTTGCAAATATGGATGAGTCCATCATTTAGTTAAGGGGTGTAGGTATTTGTTCTTAATCCTATACTTGTAAAGTATTCTGACTTTTTATTCAATTTTTTGGGGGTGATGAATTATTTTCCACTCTACAACCTTTTCCCACAATGTCACAAGCCGATCTGTATATTACTTCTATGGGAAATGTTCTGATGATCTAGATTTCTTACTTGCACTAATTCAGACATTTACTGCTAAGATCAACCCTACCATATACACAGAATTGAAACATTGTCATTTCCTTTGTATTCCATCAGTAAGTAGAAACTATTCCATTCAAACAGCTTTTTTCAAGAGCTGCCACTTTATGAAACAGACTCCTGAGATGATGCTTTCTTAAACACTAAAATTTTAACCTCTTCAAGTCTCTGATCAACTATTATCCTATATATATCCTCATAATGTGTACTTCTTTCCTTTATTATGTCCATTCAACAATTTAGAAACACTCTAAGTGGCTCTTGGGCCATATATTGGGTGAAAATTTAATTTTAAAAAAATAGTTTAGATATTTTTTATATACAGACGTTTTCTTTGTGCATTGAGATTGTCTAAGTGTGAAACTTACATTTACTATTCTCAATTCATTTTTCCTTAATATTAGCTATCTCTGGCTTGAAACTGAGTGATAGCTAATTTGTTGCTATCATTAATAACACCATTGTGTTGTTATCTGTTAGTATCACTATATATCTATCATCAATTTATCTGTTCATTTGCACATGACAATAAAATTGTGAAAAGCAAGGAACGGATAGACAACAGAAAGAAGTAAAGGTGATAATCAAGAAAGTAAGTAAGAAAGCTATAGAAAAACGAGAAGAAATTTGAGAGAAAGGAAAGAAAGGAAGATGTGCACAGGATTATTTTCTTTTTTTTTTTTTTTTTAATACTAAAGTTCATCCGAGGCCTGAGAGCCGTTCAAGGTAAAGGTTACTGTCAAGATTTTTATGATGAATGTGACGTGATTGAAAGAGGAGGTGGTAGGAAGTGAATATAAATATTAAAGGTAAGAGAAGAGGTCTCATCTTCATTGCCGTATTCACCACGCTCCAGCCTTTTTCAGGTGATTGGATATTTCAAACCTAACTCTTTATTTTGTCCACTGGGGTAGACACATGGATAAAGACGCTGGTTAGATCCAGTGACTAGACCCAAAGAGTTGTGAGTTCAGTACCAGGCCACAGCAGTGGTGAACCAAAAGACTGAGAGTTGAGTTAAAGGGAAATAACTGAGACATCCGGAAGAGGCGTGGCACTTGGAACTAGAACAATCTACCCTGAAAAAGGCTGGAGCATGCAATGGCTGAAACGTGAATATGGCAGAGAAGATGAGGATAACAGTTTGAATAATGTAAATAATGCAAGTAATCATAATATCTCATCTTGGAGATATAGACAGGTAAGAGAAGAGGGGGAAAAAACAATATGAAACCAGATGAATTTGTCCAACTGGATGGCAGTGTGAGCCACTGGAAGGGATGACAAGAGGTCAAATGTTGCTTAGGGCTAATAAGACAGAAAGTTATGAAATGATATGACATATAAATGTATAACAACATCAGGTTTCTACTGTTTCTTTCAAAGTATTCACTTGTTTCCTATTTATAGACTGGTTCAAAATGTGTGCTGCTCATAAAGGGCCACAGCAAAAGTCTGTACTACATTTGGTTTGTGCCCACTGTTCAGTTTTTCTTAATTTTTGAGTAGCAACTTTTGTAAAGTTGATGGTTGAAATAAAGATGAATATTGTTTATGTATATATTTTAATTTTGAAAATGAAAAACTAATCAGATTTAATTAGTCTTGGGTATGAAGATAAACTACATCCAAAAGCAAGGCTTCTGATCAGGCGACTGGAGGTTTTGAGGAGCATAGAACCACCTCTTAATTGCAGTTGTTTCCATGTCCACACTGACCTAGGGTGGCAGCACCTGTTAGGATTCCAGCTATGGGAAAATAGTGAACTCCTAAACAAAAATAAAACACTATGGAAGTATAAAACTACATTTTTATAGTAAAAATACCAGCAATACATTTTTATATAAAAATTACCAACAATACATATTTATAGTAGAATTAGCAACAATATGCACATGCTAATAAATTGTAGTGACTTCACCGAAATCCATTTAAAATATTACCAGACAACCAACATGTACTCTTTCATCCAAATAATATCCTACAATTTCTTAAATCAAACTGTATTCGAAAATATAAGTACAACAAAGCAACATAAAACACACACATCAACGCTTCTAATAATTATGTCCACACAAACTGTATATGCACAAAAGCTGAGTTTTATCTACCATATATTCAATTGTGAAAGCAGAATAACATATATCATTTTTATTACTTCAAGGCTACCAAGAAAATTAAATTTTGGCATTGAATGACCCATAAGGAGTTGATATGACATTAAACAAATCAATCATTTAGAATTAATGGTTAGATATAAATTGAAAAGATAAAGTGTTTTAAAAAAAAGTACATAGTTATATTTTGAAATTTGTTTAGTCATTGTGTTGTTATAATTCATCAATAAGTAAAAACTGACTAAATTCTGTGGATCTTAGAAAATGTCTTTTTTCCAATTTCAAGTTTGAATTTTTAGTTATTTAGGCTTTTATAGATCTGCCTTTTAATGTGTAATTTACTGACTTTTCAGATTTGCAGATGGCAAACCTATCAATGCCACAGAAAATTGGTGGGGTTCTATTGAACAATGGTATATTGAAGGAAAAGTCCGAGACTATTCAAACAACAAATCCTTAACACCTGTAATGTATACTCCCTACAAAATAAGTGCCGCAACTGTCATTGAAGGTAAATGATTGTTTTTTTTATTTTTAAAAATTTTCATTTTAGTTCAGATTTTGGGAGCTGTTACTAATAGTTTCATATAGTGGGCAGTTGCAGTTAAGGGAAGAATCTCCATTTGCAAGATGATATTGTTACTCATAGCCTCAGCTTAATCCTGTGTGAGGCTCTTTGGCATTGAAATTCAAGTGTAACATTTTTTCTGATGCTAGTCTGTTAGAGCTAAAACCTGGAGAAAATAAGTTTCAAGAAATTGATTAGATATGACTGTGTTATATTACCTTTGACATCTGAGATCAATCCCTTAATTGTGGTTGGGTATTTCTTCAGGTATGCCACAATTATTGATTTGTTTCAGGGTTTTTCTTGGAGAGCGGCACCATCTTTAAATTTCAGTTCAAATGGGAAGCTTATATACACAACTGCAGAAACATTTTATTTTTTACCAAAATGGTTTAATGGCACCAGTAACATCATGCTGGGGAAGATAAGTCTAAATTGGATGGTACTCTGAAATATTCGTCTAAAAACAAAAGAACAATGTTTTAAGAACATAAACACTCATTGATTTCAATGTCAAAGATATGTTCAAAAACTATGGCAGCCCAATTCCACAACAAAATAAACAGATCACGAGTTCAAACTCTAAGATCCAGGGGCAGAGAGAAATGTCAAAATCACAAATCACAGGTCCAATGCCACAAATTCCAATACATGTAAACAGCCAGGAATCCAACACACAAGTTGACAGATGAGGTAGAAAAATAAACAACTTCCAAATTTGAGAACACCAACTGCTTTTATCAATGGAACACTATTTTCATTAGTTGACAGATGGGAGAGGACACACACTATTAGCATATCAGCGATGCATTTATGGCAACACCTGCGACTGACTTGTTTCTCTTTTGGTTATTTTGTCTTTGGCATATTGTACAAAGCACACACATCTTTTTTCATTGTAAGTGACTGTCTCTTTTGACACAATATGTTATGAAAAAATGAAAAATTCTCAAAAATCTTGGAAATTTTCTATTGTTTGGAATATATTCCAATTTTACAGTTTTCTTTGAAACTATTTTTCCACAAAGTATGTGCAATAGTATCCTCATCTTTGTTGTTTTTGTTAATCTGTTTCATCCAGAACATTCTCTGGCCATCTTGTGTTTGTAATTCTCAGATGAAGTGTTTCTTGACTTATTCTATCATCATCTTTTATTGTTTTGTTCTGAATGGAAGATGTGGCCTTTCTTACATTTATTACATTCAGTAAAATCCTTTAATGTTGTTCAGAACTCTTTTTATTGTTGAGATGATGAGATAAATAATTATTGAACAGACTTCAGGAAAGCCATAAAATGCACTAACCCAAACAATAAAGATGATGCTAACAGTGAACATAATTACTGAAATAAAGATTTTTCCTCTTAGAATTTTAGAAAGCACAAAAGTCAAAAAGCATATGTTGAGATAAAATTATTGAAAGAACATTTAATAAAGAAAATATTTTATTTTAACATTTCAAACACAACTAGGGCTAAAGAATACATTGACTTTAAAATTTTGATAAATATAGCAAAGATGAAGATACTTGTTTGATTAACTTATGGAATCATTTTTTAGTCTTTTTTTATTTATTCTGCTTTTGATACAATGGTATTGGTAGACTAATCGTAACGGGCATTAAGAGGTGAGTTAAAGTTTCAGGTAAGTTTGTACTCACTTTCATGCAAATGCCCTTCAGAATGGTATGTCTGTGTCTTTTCCAACAGTTATCAGTTAAAGAGCAGGGTAGATTAGGATCTGTAGTTCTGGATGGACAGGCAGTCTAGGAGGAGACCTATCAACCTCTGCTCACAATGACTTGTAAAAAATACGAACATAAATGCAACCACATTAAAAAACTGTAAAAAATAATGGAAGTATTAATAATAATGACAAAAAAATTCAGCTCAAAATAATATAAGTCATGAAAATATATACAACTTGGTACGTTTGGAAATTTAAAAAAAAAAAAAAAAAATTACATCTCCATATCTCTCTCTATATATATATATATATATATATATATATATATATATATATATATATATATATATATATATATATATATATATATATATATATATATATAAAAATATATATATATATATAAAAATATATATATATAAAATATATATATATATATATATATATATAATATATATATATAATATATATATATATATATATATATATATATTGAAGCCCTCTATGTGTAAACAGAATATATATATCATTCTGGGCCTCCAACTAATTTCCATCTAAGCAATAATTTTTTTTTTTTTTCCAATACATATAGTCCGCTTTTTAAGTGTTAATTCTATTTATTAACCTTGATTTAGCTCTGTTGAATGACATTCAAAACCAATTATCTAACCTGTTTTTCAGTTTTACTTTTTATTTATTATCATCATGAGTGGTAATAAGAATAAGTTTTGTCTTTTTATGGCAGTCATAAAAGTTTTGTACCACAAAAACACACACACACACACACACACACACACACACACACACATATATATATATATATATATATATATATATATATATATATATATATATATATATATGAATGAAAGGAAAACTGAAAACAACTGTGGCTAAAAAGTATTAGACAATGAAAAGTAGCTTAATATGAAATTGAATGTATGTTTCGTCATTCTTTTACACTCTCACCTCTGGTGTTCTGGTATATTAGAGTAGTTTCCTTTGGCTTCTGAGGAGACCTTATGTTTGAAACCCAGGTAGCAAGGCTGGTTGGCATTTTAGCCTTTTTATATAACATACACATATATATATATATATATATATATATGTATGTGTGTGTGTGTGTGATTAAAAAAAAGTATACTCAATTAAATAAAGAAAAGTCCTTGATAATGGCTAACAGATTAGTTGAAAGTTTATTTACACGTCATTTGGAGATTTTTGTGTAAAATTTTTTGCAATGATATGTAAATCAGTTTCATGTCCAGAAAAGAAATCACTTGCAAATGCAAGAAAAATTTAATAAAAAGCTTAATTGCATTACTTTGTCAGTTATCTTCAATGAAACTAGTATAAAAGAGGGATAGCTATGCAACCACATACACACTTATATATATATATATATATATATATATATATATATATATATATATAAGAAATGGACAAAGTCTGACAATTATTTTAAGACGTTTTTTAACCTTATACATTCTTTTTATAGATACAAATATTTAAGTTTATTATAAACAGAGCATTTACTTAAATATTTGTATCTATAAAAAGAATTTATAAACATAAAAATGTTTGCTTATATATATATATATATATATATATATATATATATATATATATATAAGGACAGTGGAGTAATGGATATCATCCAGATTGAGGAATTGGAGAGCTGAGCTCGAATTCCAGTCGAATCTGTTACATTCATTTATGTGTTAATGCCCTTGAGAAAGGTATGCATCCTCTTCTTCTCTTACCAGTTATAGGTAATTAGCAAGACAGACTGGGTTCTATAGCTTTGGATGGCAACTGGTCTACGAGAAAACAACTCTGAGTCTGAAACCTGTGGAGGGTTGTTTGGGGACCTTGTGGCACATGGTGCACTCGGTCTCCCTCTATGGCTCTTCACAAAGTCTGGATGGTTCTTCACAAGACCATCACCACTATAATCAAATCATATGTTCAAGTTGTCTGGCTGTCGGTTCCTAGGAACTGAGTCGCCTGACCTTCATGTTGTAAAAGGGGGTCTCTGGTAGGTGTGGGTCAACAGCTTATGTCAATCAATGACTGGAGAGTCCATGATATATAATGCAAATAAAATTAGTCACTTAGCTGATAGATCTTATATTCAGGACCTCATCTCTAGAGTTTTCATAGACAAACTTTTTTTTTATAATTTTCTCATCTTTTATTATTTTTATTTTAAATTTGATGTAATTAATTTATGCTCTAATTATTGGGATGCTAATGTTATTTTTTTTTTATTTTATTTTTTTAGGTTGATTTTTTTTCTTTGTGTGTGTGTGTATATATATATATATATATATATATATATATATAAATAAGCAAATATGGATATAGATCCGACAGTATGAAGAAAAATATCTGGAAAAAACAAACAAAATCTAATATGCAATTATGCTGATTTAATGTTAATATAATGTCAACATGTCGGATGTTTCGATCTAGTAGACCATCTTTAGGACATATTCATAAAACATAATTAACATTAGACTATATTTAATTCAACATGAAAAGATGATGGACATAAGACTAAGACTAATCAAATTTCAGTTGTCTGTTTTGATTAGTCTTACTCTTATGTTCATCGTCTTTTCATGTTGAATTAAATAGTCTAATGTTAATTATGTCCGACGTTGACATTATATTAACATTAAAACAGAATAATTGCATATTAGGATTTTTGTTTGTTTTTTATGTATATTTTTCTTTATATATATATGTATATGTCTTAAAGTTCAAGATATGATATTTACATTTAACTCTCTAGGATTCAGATAAGAATTTTGCATTTAATTATTTCAAAATATATGTATTTTATTCATATAAGTATATAAGTTTATAAAATATATATTTTATAACTGCTGATTATATTAACTAAATTTTCAAATTTACACTTTTGTACACTTAGAACTGCTAGTCACATGAGCACTGTACAACTGAAAACCCAAATATCCAATTTCTTTTAAATATGTGTATGTGTGTATATATTTAAAATTTAGTTGGTGTACATAAGTATTTCTAAAATATATATTTTGTAATAAGTAATGCAACTCTGAGCTGAATATTATTTTTGATATAATAATTATCTTTTGAGCACTTTATTGACAAAAACTCTGTTGACCTTGACCTATGTTAAATTTATATACTCTATATACTCGCAGATAGATTACCCTACTGGATAGGTTGCAACCCTACTTTATGGCTTAATAATTGATGATTTACTCTTG